ATTTCCCCTCACAGATGGCACAATTAGATGTTAAATATGAATTCATATGTGGTCTGCAAAATACATCTCAACACTAGCTTGGCCATCAGCAAAGAGAGGGTCTCTTCTATTTATTCTTCATGAAAAAACAAGACACGGCTTGTCTGAATTTTCTAAAAATTCATGTATAGCAATTAAAAAAATTATTTTTAGCCTTGCCCTAAAACCTGCCACAAACTGAGTCTTCATTTCAATCCTCAAATTATTTATCATAGAGACAAGCATAACATATGACAAACAAATTTTAATTTGCTTTTATCTTCTTTACAGTTTAGCATCAGAAGAAATTTCTTCTCAAAATCCCAAAAGCAAATGACACAAAGAGACAGGACAGTAACAAAACTCCTAAATCAATCCCTGGGGTTATTACTGCCTGGCCATACCTGTCCACCTCTGGCCAGCATGCTGACCCATATTGTACTTGTTGGTCGAGAGGAATTTTCCAGACAAGACCTACACTCTCCTGTGTAGGCATATTTCGAATCTTTCTTTGCAAACACATACACTGTGTTTGTAGCCATTTTCTCCTGAGCAATCAGAACCTGTGTGAGAAACAAGAGCAGCAGTAAATAACTGACAAAAGAGAATACTGACAGCAACACTCACACTGTTTCTACTATTCCTTCAGGTGCCTCAACTTTAAGAGCGCTGCACAGCGTGAAGTCAATTGTATTTTGAAAATATAGATTTAAACAAAATAAAAGCTATTTAAGATGAAATAGTCCAAACAAGAGACTCAGGGAACTCTGTTGTCTTTTCTTACTTACCACACATGCTGGCTGTGCTATTTTGCACACTGATAAAGCATTTCACTATCTGTTTTTCCAAGGCCAATGCACTACAGAGGCAAATTTAAATGCCAGCTCAACAAGCAAAGCCAGAATTCTTTTCCCCAAAAAGAAATATAAAATTCTAATTATATTGCTGTGTTTGCCTGGGTTATCAGAAAATACTGTCAGTTTCACTGGTGAGGCACTAACAGAGTGAGGATATGGTTTTCTGAAGCTGCTTCCACATCAATGGAGGCAAGAACCTCTTCTTAAAACAAAATGCATCAAAAATACAGCAAAATCATCAGCAAAAATACAGCTGCGAACAAGCTGGAGGACACTCTGAGTAAGGAACTGCCTCATTTCAGAATGCACATTGCTCTGCAATACTGGAAAAGGAAATAAAAATATCTAGAGCACTTACTCACAAACAGTTCACAAAAGGCAAAGCAGTTCACAAAACAGAAAAAGGGAAGAACTGAAGATGGGAAATGTATCTCAAAGAAGAAAAGGTGGCTTGAGAAAGCCCTAACAGATAAATAAAAGCCCATCTTTCTGCAAGATCAGGAGCTCCCATAGTATCTCTGGTACACTGGAATAAGAGCATTTATGCTCCTGGCAAAACATATGGGAACAAGTGACAGAACTTCCAGTGTCTGTAAAGATGGCTGTGCAAGGTGTATCCCTTACCTTTTCTGATCCATTAATGATGAAGTAGCCACCAGGATCAAGTGGGCACTCGTTCAGCTCACAAAGATCACGGTCAGTTAAGCCATTCAGCAAACAGTATGTGGAACGCAACATGATAGGAATTTTTCCTATAAAGGTTTTCTGATGCTGGGTCTGCAACTGGTCCTCCCCTTCTTTAATAACTGTTTTAGTTATATCCACATACAAGGGGGCAGAATACCTACAGAATAAAAACACCACTGTGTTACCTGTCAGTTACTACCTTTCTGTACAACCCTGAGTAATGAAGGCAGTTATTCAAGCACTCACTGGTGTATTAAGCATTATTACCAAATCACCAATCTCCATCTGCATTTAACAACTAGACATGGAAGTTTAAACAAAGCAGCAATTATTACATTTTCAAGGCACTACTATATTGCAAAAGGCTATGAAACAGTAAGGCAGAGGCAGTTCTTCCTTGTGTTTATCCACCAGAGTTGGCTCTTACGTGAGGTTTCTCAGTCTGGCTTCATTTGGCATCATAGGCGAGGGTGCTCCATCCCTTTCCCAGTGTGTAGGTTTGGAGAGATAGATTTGTTCAAACTTCAACAGATACCGGGGCTGGAAAACAAGAATATATTTACTTGTAATGGAAGAAACATCTCTCCTATTAGCAACCAGAACTGCTACTGCAGAAGAACAGCCACTACCAATAAATGAACACACAGCCAATTGGGTAACACCAGCTCCTAGGAAGATTCTATAGGACAAGTAAACAAAGTAAGACTTGAGTTTTTGGAAAATGATCTGATTTTAAAATGCACAAAAGCTTCCTACAACAGGAGGTGGCAGACCCTTGAAGGCAAATGTTCTGTAGGTCAAAAAAGTCTCCATCCTTGTGTGAAGAAACACCTTTTCCTGGATTTGCAGCAACAGCCACATATAGTACTGTTTCCCAAGTTCTCATGAAAGCTATCTTAAGGAGAATATGTTTACCACCATTCTTATCTCTGAGCAGGGCTGCTAAACCCTCTCATGTGCTCTAAGCTGCCTTCAAAATTTGAGACTGAGAAGCAGAGGGAGACAGAAACAAAAAAATCAAGTTTTTTTCCAATACACACATTTTCCTTAAATTACTCCAGCATCTTCAAATGTGGTGAGAGATTGCCTACAAGTGCCTCTAAAGGAAAAAGCAAGTTTTCTTTTTACTCATCTCTAAACCTATTCCTAAAAACTTGCATTTAATAAATGAGAATAAGACACTAACCTCTGTGATTTGAGAAAGTAAAATGATAGCTTTTGGGCAAAAAGAAGCCCAGCACAAACCATGCTTGTGATCTGAACCACGACCAGACACAGCACAAACATCAGCTGCAGAACTGCACAAGTAGAGAATTCTGCCACAATATACACAGAATAACAGAGGAAATATTAAGAATTAGTGAGCTAAATGTTTATGAACTATTTGCCTAGCAAAGAAAGCAAATGACATCTCAGTTATTCTCTACAGGATAGTTCTTTGCCTGCAAAAAATGCAAAGGAACAGGAAAGCTGCATAACAAATTCAAATGTCCTGAAGTTCCTTTAAATCCCTAGAGGGAAACATCAAGGTAAGTGACTGACAGCAAGGCAATGGCTCATCACCATTTGCACTTATGGAACAGGGATCAAACTACACAAGGGACACAGGTGAAAGCACCAGAGCCACTGCAGAAGGTGCACACTCATTGTAGAGGAGCCATCACGGGGTGCAGAATTGAGACAATCTGTGCTCTTAGGAATGCGGTGCCAAGGGAAGAAGATGAACAACAGCACCCTTTGAAAACCTGGACCTAACTTGAGTCAAAACTAAGAGAGAAGTTTTCAGCCATAAGCCTGCCTTGCCATGGGAAAGCTGCTGAAAAACCAAGATCTCACCAAAACACAGCTTGCTCTTGGCTACCTGACCTGCTCTACTGAATCTCTGTCCACACAGTTTTGCAGAGGAACTGACAAGATGAGCTGCAGCAGCCACTTGTTCTTGGTCACTTCTCAACTCAAACAGCAGGACAGGGGTTGAATAAAACAAATGAGAAATGACTTTGAATTGTAAAAACACATAATCTCTGCCAAGGTTCTCCACTTACTGGCTCTTCCACTTCTCCTGACGCATGCTGGGCTTCAGCTTGTAAATCAATTGGTGGAGCATCTTCAACAATTCTCTGCACAGACATCTGAATAAACTCATCAAAGGAATCCAGCTGTTGCCTGACTAAACCCTTTTCATCAAAATAGGAGCTAGGAAAAAAAAAAAAGAGCAAGTTAATAAGAAATCTTAATTTAATTAATGTACTTCACACACCAACAAACTTAAGATATAGTTATCACCAAAACTCCACAAGCCATGAAATATAGTGCAGAATCAAACACATTCACTTAAGGCATGAGTTTCAAACACAGATGCTCCTCACAAATGTTTAACAATTCCCTCCTTGCCTGAAGACAGACACTTTGGAGTGACAGACTTGCTGCCACCTCTTGGCTGAGCCACGACTGCATGCACAGTGAGTACCTCAAATTTCCCTTAAATTGGAAGAGAAACGTGATCACAAACCTCACGGAAAGTGGCTTCAGCTCAAGTTTTCAATAACACCTGTAAATTACTTTGCTTAACTAATTTTGCAAGCTGCAGTAAACTAGGAGCATGTCCCTAAGTCCAAGCAATAGTATTCAGAACTTTTAGCTTGGATTCCCTGTGTTCCACCCACACAGGTCCTGGACACTCGTATTTTCCTAGGAAAAAACACCACCACCAAAACCAACCAAGTACTGATTTCCTAATGCCAGCATCAGCAGTGAAATTAGTGGGCAAAACCATGAGTTTAATATGGAGCCAAAACCACCTCTTTCTTCACTGAAAAAGGTGTGTGCTGGGGGTCAGCAGAGCTTCTGAATCCCTGCACACAGCCCTTTGTTTCTACTGAAAGCCCGTGCCGCAGCACAGGGTTTATCGTAACCAAGCCAGCCGCTCCAGGGAGCTGCAGCCAGCGTTCCCGGGAGCAAGCTGGATGTCACCTGCCAGCCTGGAGCACGCGAGAAGGGATAAGGACAGCGAGTGCACCTAATAACAATCCAGCAGGCTTCCTGCCACAGGTCGGGCGTGATTTCATCATCGTCCTCATCGTATTGCATATCTGTGGGGAAGCACAACCTGTGAGTTAGCCTCCCACCACCGCCGTGTCCCCGCTCGCCCGGCTCAGGGTCCCTCCGGTACCCCGGGACAGGCCACCGCATCCCCCCATCTCCCGGCTCCCGCGGGCCCCGGCACGCCCAGCGCCACCCTCGGCCGGGACGGGCAGGAGGAAAAGGCCAGGAGAAAAGGAAAACCCCTCACCTTCGTCCGCGTCGTACATGGTGGCGGCGGGAGGGGCCGCGGCGGCGGCGGCCGAGCGAGGGGCGAGCGGGAGCGCGGAGCGGCGCGGGCGAACGGCGGCGGCACGGCGGCT